CATTTCAACAAATGATTTTGCAGAATGAATAGAAACAGTGACATCGCTAGGACTGTTTGGTGAGAGGGGCTTCTGTGCTGTCCCTAGGGTGTTGTGTTAAGTCAGCCCCTTGGAGTAAAGCATATTCATACTGCAGAGCCTGCACATGCCAGGCATTTCGGAGGGTGCATGCAGGGCATCTCCCTCTCTCGTCTCTACTGGAGGTGGCGTGGTCCAAGAAGGACTGCTTTTGGGGCTGACTACATAACTGCTAACAGGCCATTTTGAACACCGCTTGGAGCCCAAAGTGCCAATCTTCCAAAACATTGCACCCTGGAAGTGCTCCATGCAGCCTGGGGGGGCCACCTCAGGGGGAGTGGGGGGTCCCCATCATGCATGCTCTGCAGGTCTTTCTAGGATCAACTGTCCTGGACCCACCCCGTGTCAACAGGCCGAGCTGTCAGAAACACGCTCCGTGCGGGCAGAACCAGTAATGCAGAGTAGATATGGGGGATGGGGGTGGGGGTGGCTGTGGATGAAGGGATGAAATTGAGCGCCCCCTTTCTGCCCTGGAGAGCCACACCAGAACGGGGGCGGGGGGGGGCAGTGCGAATAGAAAACAGTTTATAGTCAGGACTGAATGGGGAGGTGGTGCCCAGGGGTCTCCAGAGAGCCACCACTTTAAGGCTTTTTGGAAGGGGGTACCTTCTTTCTGGTGGCAGGAGTGCCAGCCACCTCTGGGCCTTTCCACCGTGTGTCTGCCCTCAGGTGACAGCAGAGCCAGAGTCTAGCCAGAGCAGAGGCCGCCTCAGCAGCCCAGGGGGTGATGCCACAGCGGCTGAAGTCCGGTAAGGCAGGGCTCACTCAGCCATGGAAACGCATTGTCATCTTATTTGTTAGAAGCATTGAAAGAAAGAAAAGGAAAAATTAAAAAAAAAAAAAAACCCTGGAGGAACTTATTTTGTTAAGTCCACACTACAATGAAGAGAAAGGAATTGTGTCATAAAGAAAGAAACCCCAAACGTGCAATAGATGCCTTCAGCTTTTACTCCAGGTCTCGTAAGTAAACATGAAAGACTCACAGAAATGGAACTTAACACACACATGGGTTTGGCAAAGCCTTTTTTTCCCCTCGCACAAATTTCCCCCCACTGATAAGTACAGCCCTTTTTTTCCTTAACTCACGTGAAATATATTTTGATAGGTTAACTTTATTTTTGCAAAGTAGAGTGGTTTGCAAAATAAGCTTGTGGATGCTAAGGGAGAGGGTGAGAACCATGTGCCCCGGGGGTGTGGAGAAACCTTTTATCTCACGTCACCAAATTCATGATGGTAAGCTACTAGAACTAATGAATCATTTTGGAAAATATTAAATTTTTAAAGTAACAGATCCAAACTTTTCAGAACTCCGCTTGAGCCACTGAGTGGTAACAGATAAGAGAAAGTCTGCAGTAACTTGGTGAGTATAAAGTATTCATTTAAGAGGAAAGGTGCAGTACCAAAATCCATGGACAGAACAAAAAAATCAAGCTTCTAATAAAAAAAGAAAAGACATTTACATATTCCCACTTTCAGAGGGGATGTGAGCAAATAGCAAAAAGCACTTAAACCCAAGAGCCCACAGTGTGGAGCCCCTTCCCACCTACAGTTACCTGTCCAAGGGGACAACCCTGTGACAATATAAGGGCGCAAAATATTGCTCTGTGGCATATTCTGAAAATAATATAAAAATAATTTCTATGGTACAGTTTAAACCTGCCTTGTAAAATTTCAACATAACATAGCATAAAATCTACAAACAGAATACACTTAAAAACACCGTCCTTTAACAATACATTATTTAAAAAAATCATACACCCAGGTAGCGCATGTGTGGGAAATGTGAAGTAAATTACTGAAACAACCTCCACTGGGGTTCAGAAGTATCTAGGATCCTTCTGGAAACTTGCGGTCACTTAGAGACATCTGACCTTCCCGGAAAGGGAAGTCTGGCCAGATGAGACAAGAAGGCCACTCACAGGGAGGGTCTGCCATGCACTCCTAGTCCAGGACGTATGCTCAGGTGGGGCTCTCAGCCTTTCCAGAATCCGGACTGGTTTTCTTCCTTTTCTCCAGTGCCTACAAGCCACTTAACCTTTCCCTGATCCACCCGGGGCCCCCAAGTCACGGAAGGATATTAGAGGACCTCTTGGCCCACATGTAAACAACACAGCAGTTTCTAATAGTTACTGTTCAGCCTGATAAACTAATTTGGTTTGACAGAACTCTGGCCAGGGACCAGGTCTAAAGAGCTCTTTTGAACAACATGGAACGTTCCTGGTACACTGGACTAGTAAGTTTAATATAACAGTAGGTTCTCTCACTGTTTCAATACCGTTTAGAGGAAGGGATTCATATCTTTCACAAAAGGAAACAGCTATTTGTAAACGATGTGGACAAGCACCCACAGGCGCCCTGGCATGCTGAGCCACCTTGTGACCACATGAAGTTGGGGGCCTTCCACATGCCTGGAGAAGCCACCATGGTGGCCGGTAGCTGGATCTCAGGCTTTTATTCATGGCACATCTATCCGGTGGGGTGGGGCGGAGGGGACTTTGAAATTCAACGAGATAGAACATGTCACCCTTTAAAAAAAAAATACCTACGGATTATACTGCCTGGTTTTGAAGGTTCTCTTCCGTATTACAATGGACCATGTTTATTCTCAGCTTGCCCCCTGCCTCCTACCTTTTTTTTTTTTTTTTAAACCTGGCATGAGAAAGATAAAATATTTGCATAGCCAGTTTTGGGAAATTTCTGGTTGGCTGTTTTAACATTAAAAAATTAAAAAAAAAACCACCATAAATTTACTTTATGCCTTCTTGTGCACATGGGTTTGGTTTCAGAATGCACAATTAAGCATTTTCAAGGTTGGCTGTCTCAACCTTCTAAGAGGGAAGGGCGGGGTGAGAGCCATAGCCGGTGTCTACATGTAATGCAATACTTCCTGTGACCTCACAGCTTTGGATGGCAAAGCGATTGCTCAGCATGACACAAGGAATCAGTCCAAAAAGCTGCCACAAACCCTCTCGATGAGAGATTTTTAAAAAAACTACTTTTTTTTTTTCTGAGCAACAAAAGAAACCCCAGTAATATGAGGGACATGGATGTCAGTAATTACCACACATTGAAAGTATTGTTCGGCATGAAAAGTAAAACTTCCAAAAACTTTCTCCAAGATTCTATTTAATAATTTTGATTTAAGGAACCACTTATGCAAAACTTGAATAAATTACTGAAAACTCCACGTGCTGTGTAATAATTAAAAACAAAAGAATTACTCACAGGAGATACTCAAATTACTGTAATTCTTCAAACAAGTAAAAAAAAAGTCCCCCCTTTTTTTGTTTTTTAATTTATTTTTCTTTTTTTTGCTGCCTTTTATGTCAGAGGGAAAAACATCCTTTCTGGAGAAGGAGAAGGAGAAACTGGCTCCAATGAAGAGATGGTCTACCTCTACTGCATTTTCTGAGGATACACCCACAGCAAAGCTGGCCGCTATCCCCTCTCTTTCTTAGGATTATTAGAAGCTATTCTAAGGCTCTCGCACGTTTTAAAAGTATTCTTTTGCTAGTGAGGATTTTACCCATCTTATCCATATTTCTTGGAAACAGGATCTCTCCGTAGCGAGGCAGATTTAACTCCTCAGCGTCCTTGGCCAAGAATGGTGTTCTCCAGAGGTAATCTTGGAAGGAAGAGGCTGCATATTGCTGCTCAAAACAGGGTAGCTAAGGACACATTTTTTTTTTTTTTCTCAAGGAATGTAGGAGGCACCAAAAAAGGGACCGCTCAGGGATGGGGCTGCCCCCTCAGTGTGTTATGGAGCCACAGGTAGGGTTACCCTGCCCTGCAGAGGGGACCCCAATGGGAGTGGCACCCCTTTACCTGGCTGAACCCAGACAGATGCAGGTGGAGGTGGGGATGGGCTTCCTTCCCAGCTTCCCTCGGCCTCTTCCCTTTGGAAAGAGGCACAGGCCAGGTTTCCAAGTAGCCTGGTGTGGGGGCTTACACAATGACCAAAGGGTCAATTCCTCGCCTCTCTCTTGGGGCACCGATGATCACTTCCTAGGGTCCTCCGGTGATAGTTCACTGTGAAAATGTCTTCAAAGGAGAAATGTGAGCAGGCTGTCATCTTTGCTCATACATGGGCAATTCCAAATAGTGAGTTCGGAACCTTGCTTTTTGGACCCAAGGTGTCTTTGGAAAGCTCCTGTCACCTGAGCGATCACTACACCTCACCGCGCGCCCTGCGAGGTAGGTTGTCCGGTGCCCATCCTAGGACGCCTGCGGCTTTAATGAAAGTGTGAATGTTGCTTGAGCAGGGGAGGGGGAGAGGGGAGCGGGGGGGCGTGGGGCGTGGGAGGAGGTTTTGCTTATGAGATGGAGCTGTGTATTCCTAAAGGGCCACCGCGGCCACCAGAGCGAGTCAGCGGGCGGCACAATGCCTCCTGTCCTCCCAGGACTCGGGAGGGGAAGCAGGTGCGTGCCCGCAGCAAGCCGCCGCCGCCGCCCCACTCCCGGGCTGCGGGTTTGCTTCTAAACCCTGGGTGGTACCGACCGCACGCGTGTGACCGCTAACGAGGAAGAGGTCAGTCGCTGGGTTGGGGGCGGGGGGCCGAGAAAAAAAAAGCAAAAAAAAAAAAAAAGGTAAAACACTCCCTTCTAAAAACAAAGGGCTGCAAATTTCTTTATTTCTCTTATTGAGGAACAAAAATACTCTTGCAATGGCTATTGAGTTTCCACAGGTACGAGGCAGATGCTAGCTAGCACACCCACTTCCAACAGTATGACTTGTTTCCTATCCGTCTACTACCTGAGTGGCGTCAGTGTAGGTTCAGGCACCATTAGGAACGTTTGACCAAACACGTACACAGCACTGACAGAGGAGTCGCCGGCCTTCCGGTTGACCAGGGCATGTAAAAAAGACATCGACAGAATGGAAAAGAAATCCTTTATGGTAAAAGCTGGCGCGCGCGGCGCACTCAGGGCCGGGCCCCGCGCGCCTCGCGCCGCCGCCGCAGCTCCTCGCGGTAGCAGTACGAGCAGTAGTGCTCGGTCTCGGCGCGCCCGTAGAACGCGCAGTTCTCGCGCTGGCAGCGCCGCTGCGCCAGCCCGGGGCCGCCACGGCCGCACTCACCGTTCGAGCGGGCGGCCGGCGCGTCGGCGTCGGCGAACTCCAGGCCGTCGCGCGCGGCGCCGAAGCCGTTGGTGTAGGTCTGCGACTTGTGCTCGGCGGGGCCCGCGGCCCCCGCCGCGCCGGGCAGGGCGGCGGGGATGGCGCGCGCCAGCGACTCGACCGTGTTGACGGTGCGCAGGGTGGCGGCGCGCGCCGGGCTGTAGCTCTGCGACGACAGCGAGCGGTTCTGCTGCGGGTACGTGGCGCACGGCCGCAGCGCGCCCACGGCCGGCGCGCACGCGTCGTCCCGCGCGCCTGCGGCCTGCACGTGGATGACGCTCTGGCGCGCTGGCGCCGGCGGGCTGCGGCCGGGGAGCGATCCGCTGGGATCACTTCCTAGGGTCCTCCGGTGATAGTTCACTGTGAAAATGTCTTCAAAGGAGAAATGTGAGCAGGTGGCTGTTTTAACATTAAAAAATTAAAAAAAAAACCACCATAAATTTACTTTATGCCTTCTTGTGCACATGGGTTTGGTTTCAGAATGCACAATT